TGTCTCATGTGAGGGCTTCACATAATGTTCCTGAAATTAGCAGACAAGTACTTTCTAAAGACTTTTGGAAACATTTGTGGTCATTGGAGGTAAAAAAAATAAACTGAAGCATTTTCTTAGGAGATGTGTTTTATAGTTTGCCTAATTACCATTCGTAGCTACTGTTCAATTGTTATCAGCTCTTGTCACTTGTATTCAGACGTGCAACGAATACAACATGTGTCAACTGTATTCATTCGCAAAACAAACATAACCTGTATCAACTGTATTCATTCACGCAATTATTTTTGTTCGCACAACGAATACAACCAAAGTGAAATACAGGCTGAATACAAAGGATACAACCTGTATCTCTACTGTATGGTCTTGTCGAGAGTCGAACTCAAGACCTCTACCTACTAGGCGGGTGCTCTAACCAACTGAGCTACTAGAGCTTGTTCCTCTCTTGTTTCAATTCAAAACAATTGATCTTTTATTTCAGTACTATGGGTGGATTTGCTATAAAATTCAAATATAGCTACAGATGATAATTTTTAAAAAAGCATAACTACGAATTATAAATACAGTGTATATATTTGTTGTGTGGCATAAATTTTTCAAAAAAGAATTCATTACATTGATGACATTTGTCTTGTGTATGGTTTAGAGCCTGAAACTATTGAGCATCTTTCAGTGTCCCAGATTTGTTAATGTGTGGCGGAGAAGTCTTGACTCCTGTATTTTGTTGCCTAATTTGCAGAATATTTCAAATTTCTCTGATTGGTGGAGTCATTTATTTCTAAGTACTAAAAAGTTTCCTTATTCTACTGAATTGCCGCACTATCAGTCTATCATGGGGATGCTTTGGAAAGCTCGTAATGATTAGATATTTAATGTTGTTTTATGGACAAAATCTGGAAAATATGTCTAAATAAGCTATTGAGATACATACTAATTGTACATAGACTAAGCTGAGGACCTATGTGTAAAGATTAGAAAGTTTTGTCCTTAAAGAAAAAGCTGTTAAGGTGGTTAGAGGTGGGCTGTTACAAAAGGCCCACCCTCACGTGTATTTCTTCTTCTTCTTCTTAAGTGAAATACAGAGCTTCTTCTTCATCTCATTTCCTCACTATCTCCACTGTAGATTTCTCACTCAGATTCACTTGCATGTTGCATTATTGTGTAGATTCAATCAATTCTATCATAAGCTATATGTTATTGTATGGGTCAAAATCAAATCAGAGAAATTCGACATGCGGAAATAATTGTCATGAGTAACCTGCGAATCGAATTGAGCTGTCTGGCCGAGGTCGAGCAGTGATCAATAAGGCCAAGGTCGATCAATCATCAACAAGGCCGAGGTCGAGCAGTGCAAATAGAAGTAACTACTATTTTTGCTTTGGAATCTTCAAAGGGATATTCCCTTTAATTGTACTTTTTTTAGGATTTTTTAGGGATATCTCTTATAAAAAGAAAGAAAAGAGAGAGAAAACCAAGAGGGGGGGACTTCTCTAAAAAAGCAGACCCTCTATCTCTAGAAAAGATAAAAAAACACATCTCTCTAAAGAGATTAGATAATCTGTTATCCCACACTCCCCATTAGATCCGAAAAGGGTCCTAAGATTCTTGTATTTCCCTATCATTCATCTTTATCAAATGAAAGAAGATCCTCCTCACCCGCATTTTGGCCAAAGCGATGCTGCATCAATTAAACGAATCAACATTCGACCTCGCTCGAATCAATATTCGGCCTCGCTCGAATCTACATTCGGCCTCGCTCGAATCAACATTCGGCCTCGCTCGAATCTACATTCGCCCTCGCTCGAATATGACCTCGCTCGAATTTACATTCGACCTCGCTCGAAAAATAGAATCAGAAATAAGCAGCAAAAGTAGCATTCCAAATCAAAGGAGGTACCTGGTAAGCCATCTTACAAGGGCTGAATCGCCCGTCCAGATCTGAGGACGCGGATGACCTCCACCGATGTCGCCCTCCTTTCCAAAGCTGCCATCTTGGCCTCGTTGGCCTTCTCTAACTCTACCCTCTTCTCGATCAACTCATCGCTCGAGTCATTGGCCCTGGTCGAACTTTGCTCAAATTCAGCCTGCAGGGATACCACTTGGACCTTAAGATCGACACCCTCAGCCGTGATCCTCACTACTCGACCTCCCCATCCGAATTTCTCGAACTCCGATTAATGAAGTCCGCTCATCGAGTTCGACCAAACGACGACCTCGATAAGCGGAGGGACTAACTGTATGCGTCAAAATCAAATTAGAGAAATTCGACATGCGGAGACAATTGTCATGAGTAACCTTGCGAATCGAATTGAGCTGTCTGGCCGAGGTCGAGCAATCATCAACAAGGCCGAGGTCGAGCAGTGCAGATAGAAGTGACGGCTAGTTTTGCTTTGGAATCTTCAAAGGGAGTAGAATATTCCCTTTAATTGTACTTTTTTTATGGTTTTCTAGGGATATCTCTTATAAATAGGAAGAGAGAGAAACCAGGGGAGGGGG